CAGGTCGAGGCTGCGGTGGCCAGGAGCGGCCATTGCACTCCAGCCTAGGCGACAGAGTGAGACTCCGACTCCAAAAAACAAAAACAACAAAAACAACAACAAAAAAGAAATTTGACATCTGCAAGGGGCTGAGTCTTTTGTGGGTACCAGACAGCAGAATCTTGCTCTCTCAATGTGGGGTACTCCAAAGGAAGTTGCCTTTGAAGGTTGCACAAACCCAACTGACTGAGATTCCGGAAAGCACACTGACTGTTTCAGTTTGGACACTCTTGGAGGGCTTGTTAGTAATTGTTTGTGTACCTGGGCAAGTTAGTGTGGATATCAGACAGCAGGATCTGCTCTTCTCAATCTGTGGAACTCCAAAGGAGTTTCTGTTTGAAGGTTGAACAAGACCATTCAACTAAAGAAAGCACTCAGCTACTTCTTCCTTTTTTTCTGAGCCAGGGTCTCACTCTGTCACCCAGGCTGGAATGCAGTGATGCAATCACAGCTCACTGCAGCTGCGACCTCCTGGGCTCAGGTGATCCTTCTGCCTCAGCCTATCAAGTAGCTGGGGCTGCAGGCACATGCCCACCATGCCTGTCTAATTAAAAAAAAATTTTTTTTATAGAGACAGGGTCTTGCAATGTTGCCCAGGCTAGACCATTTCAGTTTGAAGACTCCTGGGACTTGTTGATCACTAATGCAATGGATTATATTTTGATAATATATTTGTTTGTATACCTGTGTGTGTTGTGTGTTGTGTGTGTGTGTGTGTATCAGAATGGGAGATCAGAATTCAGTCGCAGAATGCAGTTTTCTTGGGTGCATTCTTCCAAGTTGGCCTGTATATAATTATGAACCAATGGAACAAAGGAAAATAATATTCTTTTGTAATGTAGTTTGGTCTCAGCGTTCTTTGGAGTCTGGAGAGGTTGGAATCTGGACTCTCCATGGGTCTGTGAATTGTAGTTTTATATTATAATTGGATTAATTTTGCTACTGAATGGAGTTCTATGAATCCAGGCTTTTATGCTGCTGTTCTAAGCAGGGTCAGGCCTGGTTAGTACATGATCTTCAAGCAATACAAACTCACCAGTTTGCAAACTGGCTAAACTTGGTTTGCCCCAATAGGTAATACAATGGAGGCTGGCTAAACTTGGTTTGCCCCAATAGGTAATACAATGGAGGCTGTGAATCAAAATTTGGGGTATTTTACTATTTTACCCCAGTATTCTTTGAAATGTGGGGGGGTTTTGACTTTTAAAAATCAAACTATGAGCCGGGCTGAGTGGCTCAGCCTGTAATCACGTGCTTTTGGGAGGCTGAGGTTGAATGGATTGCCTGAGCCCGCGGGTTCAAGATCCGCCTGGGCAACTTGGCGAGACCTCATCTCTATAATAAATAAAAAATTAGCCCGGCATGGTAGCACGCGCCTGTAGTTCCAGCTACTTGGAAGGCTGGGCGGAAGGATGACCGGAGCCCAGCAGGTCGAGGCTGTGGTGGCCGGAAGCGGCCACTGAACTCCACTCTGGGTGATGAAGTGAGACTCCAATTCAAAAACAAAAACAAAAACAAAAAAACCAAACTATG